AACCCTAAACCCTACCCTAAACCCTCGAACCATGGAGCCTCAAAGCATCAAGACCTCTTGATAGACAAGCCTCGGCCTAAACCCCGAAGGTCTAAACCCCAAAGCCCCAAAGCCCCGCAGCGTCCGAGCCCAGAATCTCGGCTTCTTAGAGAACCCAATACCCCTTTATTGCGGAATATGCCTTAAGTCATAATACTAAGGCACCTATAATTGAAGGTATATTCCTTAAATATACCTTAAACACAATAAGGCCCCCATATAATGTCAGGTATATTCCTTAACTAAGGTGTATGGGGGTTCTCTGGGTCCTAAACCCTAAACCCTAAACCCCTAAACCCTAAACCCTAAACCCTAAACCCTAAACCCTCTCGGCAGGCGCGGCCCCCACGGAAGTCTACAACGCCTGCCTCACGGCCCCGGGCCGAGGTATATCCGGGGGGGCGGGGGTGGGTTAGGCTTTGAGGGTATAATATAGGGTTTAGGGTTTAGGGTTTAGGATTTAGGGTTTAGGGTTTAGGGTTTAGGGTATGGGTTAGGCTTTAGGGTGTAGTGTTTAGTGTTTATAGGTTTAGGGTTTAGAATTCAGGGTGGTTTAGGGCTTAGGTTTACGGTTTAGGGTTTAGGGTTTCGAGATTTGCGGTTGCAGGTGTAGGTTTCCGAGGGTCTTGTAATGGGGCTTTCACAGTTTGGTTTCCTAAACCCTAAACCCTAAACCCTAAACCCTAAACCCTAAACCCTAAACCCCAAACCTACTAGACTTATAAACCCGAAGCCCCTATACCCGGAACCCTAGACTTATAGACCCTAAACCTAAACCCTAAACTTATAAACCCTAAGCCCTAACCCTAATAGTGGACCTCTAAACCTTAAGCCTTGCAGTCCCCACACAGTACTTGGAGGATCATGGGACTTAGTAACTAGGGTTGTATATAAGGTTCCTATACCTATAGGTAATTATAATCCCAATTACGATCTGCTCCGATGCCAAAAGGGCTGAAGACCCCGAAGCTAAAGCTGTTAGGGAGCAATGTAACTATACTGCATATGCTTATATGTAATTACAACCCCACTTAAGGTAGCTATAACCTTACCTACTAAGTCCCGTGATCCTCCAAGTATTCCCAGACCCCCGCACAACAAGGAAACGGAGAGCCCAGCGTCCGAGGGACTCTTAAAAATGGGGGTTCATGAAAAACAGATAATGTATACTATACTACTTAAAGGATCATGGGGCTTTGTAAGTAAGGTTATAACTACCTTAATTGAGGTTATAATTAGTTATAAGTCTAGTTACCTTGTTTATAACCCTAGTTACTAAGTCCCATGATCCTCCAAGTATAAGACCCTTTGCCATGCCCAAAACCCCGCAAACTCCAAGCCCTCAAAGCAAGACCCTTCATCGCAAGCTTTTTTGAAAAAGAACAAGCCTAAACTCAAAACTTAAGCCCTCAAGAGCCCTAAAGCCCCACACCTTCGAACCTCAAGCCCCAATACCGTAAGGCCGACCTCAACCCCGAATCTTCTTAAAAACCCCGAATCTTCTTTGAAACCCCGAATCTTCTTAAAGCCCCGAATCTTCTTAAAACCCCGAATCTTTTTAAAGCCCCGAATCTTCTTAGAACCCCGAATCTTCTTAAAGCCCCGAATCTTCTTAAAGCCCCGAATCTTCTTAAAGCCCCGAATCTTCTGAAGGACTTATGAAAAGAGGAAGTCACAGTCAGGAGCCCCCCCAAAAAGGGCAGGCTTTATAGGGTGACGGTATAAACCGTCAACTCTCAGCTCACAGCCCTAAACCCTAAAACCCCAAACCCCCACACCCACGAGCCCTAAAGCCCTAAACCCTAAAACCCCAAATCTAAGGGTTTTGGGTTTTAGGGTTTAGGGTTTTAGGGTTTAGGGTTTAGGGTTGAGGGTTTAGGTTTAGGGTGAATCTAAACTCTAAGCCCTTTGGC